AACATTACATTTTCTCTCTCTCTCTCTCTCTCTCTCTCTCTCTCTCTCTGTCTCTCTCTCTCTCTCTCTCCCCTCTCTCATTAAAACACGTCGTCAACATTTATTATATACTAGATATACAGCTTTGAGATAATGTAAATGTATTTTTGCATCAGGTAATGAACTTGGAATCCACATGATAAAGAGTTAACACAATATAAAGATATTTTTAAATCACATAAGAAAGAGTTGGCATAACGTTATAATATATCCACATCACGGTATGTGTTTTGACATAATGTAATAAAGTGTTGATATAATATAAAGATATGTTCACATTATGTTATACACTTTTTACACCACGTAATAAAGCACTGACATAAAGGTAAGATGTGTTCACCTCACATCATGATGCCCTCGCTGTAAAATAAAGATAAATCCATATCACGTAATAATACTTTGATATAATAGAAATATACACTCTCAAAAAGGAATGGGCTTTTGACTTCATGTGATGATAAGTTTAATTATAAAAAACAATTTACTTGACGTAATGCAATTTTGACCTCACATATTAAAGAAATGAAATGATGTAAAGAAACATTCATTAAACGTAATTAAGTTTTAACACAATGTAAACACATTATCACTTCACATAATGAATTTTTTACTTCAAGTTATGAAGTGCTGACATAAAGAAAGGATGTATTTACTTCAATGCAGCATTGACATGATGTTAAGATATATTTTCATCATCCCATAAAAAATGGACATAACGTAAAGATATGTTCACATCACGTAATGATAAATTGACGTAATAAATGCATAGTTGTATGCTATAAGGCAGTGATGGCGTTCCATATATGGGCTTTCAATTACACACCACGTACATGTACATCGTAACATTTATGCCAAAGACCAACTGTGTTTTGGAGTCTAAATTTTGGCAATGCATGGTACTCAGTTCATAATTCTCTCTCTCTCTCTCTCTCTCTCTCTCTCTCTCTCTCTCTCTCTCTCTCTCTCTGTGTGTGTGTGTGTTAAGGAATTGTTTTAATGCTTGCATTTTTGCACGAATTGTCTCATGTCACTCGAGATCCGCATAATATATGTTCAAAATTAATGTGCGAGGATCCTTTATTTAAGTCATTGTTTCCGATGCTGTATTTATAGGAACACTTTTTAGATTCTAGAGGCAAATTCAGATATATTTTAAAAGAGAACTTCTGAGATTGCTTCAGATCTGATTTCTTTTTAAATTAATAAAAAAAATGTATGTCACACCAGGAGGAGGGGTACACGAAACTGCTGCTTAAAAGAGAAAGCAGCAGTATCCCCCCCTCATGACTGCAGTCATGGTCTCTAAATTCTACTTTAACAAAAAAAACTTCATCCTGTGCAGAAATCTTTATCCGGATAATTATTTTTTCATCTTCAAATATTGCCGCAGCCACACTGTATAAAATTACGAACTCTTCTGGACCTGGTGATGCATTTTTTTTACATAGCTGAAACAAATACACTGGTAAGTCTAGTGCCGTTCAACCAGACACTCGGCTGTCTCCGTTAATCTCCGATCAGCTGTAGTCTCGTTCAACCAGACACTCGGCTGTCTCCGTAAATCTCCGATCAGCTAGCATCTGCTGGTCGGACATTTACGGAGACAGCCGTGTGTCTTTTTGAACGAGACTATGGTAGGTCAGGTTTTAAATAATTGTCTTAATATCGTCTACAATCAAGCAGGAAAAAAACACATTGTAATTTTTTTCTCAATAATTAACAGATATTTCTTTATTATGCATGGGTACTTGTTTTCAATCAAAAACTTTCCTCCATCCACAATTCCTGTACCTCGGCATGATAAAAGGTGGTGGATGTTTGACTTCCTTTAATAGGTAAAATATAAAAACAAAGAGAAATCGATTGCTAGAAATCCATCACCAGGAACGAAAAGTGCACATTTGCAGCAGATAAGAAGGTGGGGGGGGGGGGGGGCTTCTATTCCGTTTTCTGTGAAGTAAAGTACCAAACATTTTTCTGCATGGGTAAAAATTATACTTCAGCTATAGGGATAATATGCATCTTTAATGCAGTGTCTCTTCAACAAATCTTGTTAATCTCCGGTAGGAAAGTGTTGTGGTTGCTTTATAAGGATCATTTGTGCGATGTTATTGAGGGAAAGATGAAATAGAATGTGATCCTAAAACTGTTCAAAAAAATAAATTCCGAAACAAAAACAGGATTAAAACAAACTAACTCACACACACATACACACACCTTCGTATGTGATATAATGCTCTCTCTCTCTCTCTCTCTCTCTCTCTCTCTCTCTCTCTCTCTCTCTGGAAAATGATGTCGCTATTTACATGTTGCCCCTTATTAGCAGACCTAATTTTTTTTTATTCATACAAAGCTACACTCAAAATCTTACATGTATGAGAAAAAGAAAACACCTTCTGTGGCCTTACACATTTAGTTAAATCGACAAATAATATAAATTAACGGTACAATATACTTTTTTATATATATGTCAACTTGACGTAAATGTACCCTGACCTTCATATTGTTTAATTTTTTCGATCCTAAAATGGCGAATTAAATCTCTGAAACAAAAGAAGCATACAATACATCAATCTGATATTTTCTCTCTCTCTCTCTCTCTTTTTTTTGGGGGGGGGGGGTTGTACATGAAAGTCTCTAGTATCGGATGAATCTAAGATAATACTAAGATTTTCCAAGCATATGCCACATGAAGGGCATTTAGGGCACAATAAACCATCACCCCACCCCACAAACAAACCCACATCCGACGTGTCTCCTTTTTAAGGGGGGGGGGGTAGAAACCAGATGTTTCTTTTATAATGCTAAAATTATCGATCAAAAAAAAAGGAAAACGAACAAATATTTAAATAAAAATCACATACGAAATGTCATTTGAAGTCCGAGGTGATTTTTCTTGTGCAGTTTTTACAACCCAAGTATGGAAATGTGAGAAGTAAATTAATGATGTTTTCCGATAAAACACAGCGTCATGACATAAAATTTGTAATTTTTCTTTGAAAATTTTAACTTATTTCTAGTCTATGAACAATGACATGTTATATATCATTTGAAAGAGAAGAAAATTTTCTATTAGAATCACTAAAAAACTCAAAATGTCAAATTTTTGACTTAAGGATGGTTTTTGCTTGACGGTCATCAAATGTGAATAATGCTTTTCTTATTTTGTTTGTTAGAAAGGGAATTAATGTCGCAGAAAATAGCATAACCCGCATAATGATTTTTTTTCTGTAACAATGCGACATTCATGCCGGAACCAACAACCAAAACGTTTTTTTTTTTTTGCTTAAATAATTGCCAGACACTGGAACAGCGATGAGTAAATATTGGAAGGTGCACATTATCAACTCAAGTAAGAAGCGATGGATGTTCATAGTTGTCTTCAGAATTTACTGGTCAGTTACTCCATCAGTTCTAGAATAGTTGTTTGAATAATCATTACCAATCTGTAGTGTTTAGACATTTGCATATGTATAATTGTTAGTATTCAAAATTAACATGACTCATTATCAGGTGTCATAACCGCCGTATAGTCCTTGACATAACTGAGAAACAACGGAAATATTCATCGACAATTCAAATCGTAAATAGATAAAATGGCCTTACAAATAGTTGGAAAACGTCAGTCAGCATTTGACTTAATGTAAAATTGTGTTTGCTGACAAAGTCATTGTATCGATCATAGAACAAAGAAATATTAAAATAGATTGTAAGAAAAGTTGGATGTCCTCCATAATGTACCATTTTGACTGTTTAAACGCAATTTTTATGAACAAGATGAAAGCAATCATATTTTTTGTATTTAACAATTAAGATCAGTAATCTTGAACACATTGACCAATTCGACAATGTTTGTATCATATGAACAACAATGAAACAGTTTATGAATTCTTCACTCCAGTTTTCTCACATTCAGACGTCGTATTCATATATTGACGTATGAAGATGTAAATGAGATTTTTAACGGTACGAATAAATGCTTATTTACGGAAGCCCATTTAGGACCTATTAAAAATATTTTTGAATTCGTTATAACGATTTTTAGAATTTGTTATAACGAATTTAATTTGTTATAACAGATTTTTTGGAATTCGTTATAACGAATTTAATTTGTTAAAACAGATTCATTGAATTCGTTATAACGAATTTAATTTGTTATTATAATAACAGATTCATTGAATTCGTTATAACGAATTCAATTTGTTAGAATATATTGTTAGAATTCATTATGACGAATTTAATTTGTTATAACAGATTCATTGAATTCGTTATAACAATTTAATTTTTTATTACAGATTTGTTGAATTCGTTATAACTAAATTTTTGAATTTGGTTATAACGAATTCAACAAATCTGTAATAACAGATTAAATTCGTTATAACGAATTCAATAAATCTGTTATTACAAATTAAATTCGTTATAACGAATTCAATAAATCTGTTATAACAAATTAAATTCGTTATAACGAATTCAATAAGCCTGTAATAGCAAATAAAATTCGTTATAACGAATTTAATGAATCTGTTATAACAAATTAAATTTGTTATAACAAATTCAATAAATCTGTTATAACAAATTAAATTCATTGTAACGAATTCTAAAAATTGTTATAACGAATTCAAAAATATTTTTTGATAGGTCCTAAATGGGCTTCCGTACTTATTTCATAAATCAAGTAGCGGTTTTAAAGTTTATTAATATTTTGAAATAGAATATATAGATAAACGCAGAGGAACAAGGAAGAAGAAATAATCATAAGTGAGATAGGGTATAAGGAAGTAACAAGATTCAGTATAAAATTTAAAAAGTGTCAAAATATAAAAATAAAACGCTTCCTGTTGTTTTCTTTTATTCTGTCATACATATAGTAGATGAATTGTGACTTGAAAGCTTTTTGCTTTAATTTATGATACATGTACATTGTTGTATACTAAAAAAGCTTTTTGCCTTAATTTATGATACATGTACATTGTTGTATACTAAAATAAGGAAACATTCTATCAAGGAAGCATTCATTTAAAAAAAGATTACCTATAACATGGATATTTTCAAATGGCGTGAGTCTCTCTCTCTCTCTCTCTCTCTCTCTCTCTCTCTAAAAATTACAGCTAGAACATTGATTAACACCTAAATGTTCTTCTAATAGATCGTTTTCTTCATATTTTTTTTTTGTTTTGTTTTGTTTTTTTTTTTTTAGTTTTTCTGGTTATTCTGGTTATTGCTGTCCTGCATTTCATTCATTCAGTCCAGACTTATACGCTACAAAGGTGTGTATTTTTATGCAAAATTTCCTCCACGAACTGTGAAACTAAAATCAAAATTTTCTTTGTGGGATAGTAGATTTTTGAGGCATGGAAATAGTATTGGGTACTCCAGATTTTAATTCGGGTTAGAGAGAGTTTTGGTAGTGATGATAATGAATAATTTTCGTTTTATCTGAGTCATAACTTATTGGGTCTTTTTTCCACCCCGAAAACATTTAACTTTAAGTTTAACCATTATAAAATAAGTTAGTTTACAGTTCACAAAATACTTTTTTTTGACTCATCAGATCTGAAATATCAAGTAAGATTTTCTAATCATATTTTGTCCGGCGTCTTTCTAATTTTCCGTTTGTAAGTATTTTACATTTTGGACTAACATGTAAACATGTATCATCAGTTATCTCATTATTGAGCCAAATTCATGCAAACTTGGTATCCGCAAGTGTAGGAAGTCCATTTTATACAAATAAAGTATTAGACGCTCCCTCTTACAAGAAGAGATAACATAGATTAAATGAGATTTTGGTGGCAACCCCAAAAATAAAAATTCATGTAAAGTCTTACATAGTCAAGGTTCTTGCTAATTTGTTCAAAATCAGGCCTCTTGGTGGAGATTTGGACCACAATGAGTAGTCTGTTACTTACATAGAAAAAAACTTTTATAAACCTCTTCACAAGAAAAACAAATCCATATATTAAATATATCATATTTATATGCAAGCATCCTCTGTCTCTTGTATTGAAGATTTAACTTTGTTCAAACCACGAAACTTCGGGTAAGCTTGGGTCACAGCAAAGAGACTAAGTTTCTCAAAGGAGTATATTAAGGAACAAGCATGTAAATTCTTTCTAAAACGGTATGATCGGCGTAGGCTAATAAAGTCAGCATTATGAATTTCTTAAAATAAATTTGTAATTTTTTTTTAATTTAGTGACTGAAATTAGTTTTTTTTTGTTCGTGTGCCTATACATTCTCATATATTTAAATTCACATTATTTCTGAACTGAGTCTGACATCATGTGTAATGTATGCCTTTTTCACAATGCAAAATCATAACTTTAAACTGAAGAATAAGATTTAATTAAGCATTGTTTGTAAATTATGAAATTGCATGACCACATTATGTTGCCTTAAAAAGTATTTTTGTAACTGCAAAAAATATAAATTAACATATCTTTAACAATGACAAAAAAAAAATAAGAAATAAAATACATCTCTTTCCAAAAATGCAAAAAAAAAAAAAAAAAAAAAACGGACTGTGTGGTTTTTTTTTTTAAGATTTCAGGATATCAGACTTATGTTCTCACGCATGTATTCTACTTAAATCTAGAGCTAGTCATCTTTGTAAACAGCTTTTTCTTATTTACTGGATGAGTGATTATTATGATTATTGAAAATATCTATAGTAAAGATTAAATCCTTGGCAAAATTATGTTCAAAATTAGTAGTGTAATGAACATGGGGATAACGAACAGTATTCAAGATCAAAATTCCATAACACAATACAAAATAGGGAAAGAGCAAAAACGGGCCTCCAAAACAACAGAGGTTGGAGCAGGTGCCAAGGGAGGAATGAACATCCTCTGCCAACTGGTTACACCCGTCGTGTGCTCCTTGTCTTTATCATGAAATACCGGAAAATCCATCGTTAATTCAGGGTGCAAATAATGGACTAACAATTGGTATGAAAAACTTCAGTCAGCATTTGACTTAATGGTAAATTGTTTTTACGTTTTGTTGTATGTCCTGTTTAAGGAAAATATGTGTGGACATTCCTATGAAATTTGCGGGAAGGAAACTGGCTTGTGATTTTACGTTACCGGAGGCAAGGAGATTTCTTCAGGGAGGTAAGTTCATTCATATCTTAATATACTTGTGAAATGCAACAGTTCTTAAAAGTTATTTTTTTCTCTATACATGTATATATAGTACACCTGCAATGTAATTATTCTTTTTTTTTCCTCTATACATGTATATATACTGACACGCAAAAGAAACGCAACACCCGAATTTGGGGGAGATAATTACGTAAAGTAAAGAATTTTGTATTTTAAAATTATGGATATCTTCAATTTGGTAAATATCGGTAATTTAACGGTTGAACGATTTTCGTACCATAACCGGAAGTCAAGTTTGAGTCTGCTTAATAGAAATCAAAAATGGCATGTTTAACAAAACATTTGGCAATATTATGGGAGCTTTAAGGGTTTATACTGTTCATCTTAAGTAAAGCAGCAACATTTCAAAAAATAAAATCTCCTTTCGTTTCCCGTTACGATGCTAAGGCTTCTCGAAAATGGCTTAAGTAAGCATTTCCATTGCCCTAACTGGAAAATCTCAACGTAAAGGTGATGAAGAGTTGATGATGCAAAAATACACTGCATTACGCATCAACGGGGTCTTATGTATCATATATGCATAAATGATAGTCCTTGGACCGGAAGTTCAAGGGTTACTACAATGCACTAAGTTAGAGAAAATTCGACCTAATCATCTTCTAAAAAACAGGCATTTAAAAATGTCAAAGAATAACTCCTTCGCTCAGATCTCGATATTGATTAACCTATTGTATCGTAAAAATTAAGCTGTAATTGTTTTTTAGGACAGTCTTGCACGTTGTAATTGAATGACTGGGAGGGGGGTGTTTTAACAGTCATATGTTACTTAGTAAAGTTAAAAGATAAACATTTAACATTTTTATCAAATCCCTGATGTTCTGAAAAGTAAGGTTAGCCTTACTGTATTCTTTTTTGAAAATCATTCGATAAAAAATTCAAACATTTGTAGATTACTGCTTGTTGCGTTTCTTGTGCGTGTCAGTATATATAGTATACCTAATTCATTTTCAACAGAAACTGTAGGTATACTTTTGCTTCAACATAAATTTTGTCTTAAAGCATTCAAAATTTTTTGTGATACTGATGATTGACAAGCGTGTATTTCTTGGTCATGAACAGTCCATGTGTAAGCTGGCGATTTACACTTGGTTAATAAATATAAAGAATTGTTACCTAAAGATCTCATCTCTGCAATATAACTTAAAATTTCAGTAATTTAAATAAAGAGTATGATATCTATTAAACAAGTTATTTATAATTGATACCGATCGTAGTTTTCTACAAAGTGAATGATTAAAAACTTTAGGATTTTTAACCTTTTAACTGGGGAATCTAGGATGGGGGAATGGAATTCGTTTTCCTCATAAAATTCTTATATTTTCCTCATAATTTTACGCAGTAGCCTAATTATGATTTAGAAGATGATTGTTGGTGTAAATGTCCTGTAGAAATAGAATATAATTTCAGGATTTTCATTTTCATCCGGAAAGAGGTAAATAGATGATTTTTGCTTTCCTTTAGATGTATCAAAATGGACTCTTCTCACAATTTAAACATACACAATACACAAATCATATTTTTAATGATGAATTTTAGGTTGCCAAGAATATACAATAATTATTACTTTTTTGAAACTTTCATTTTTTAGAACACGGGAAAAAACAAAAAAAATCTAAAACTTTTTCTCTACCAAAACAATAGTTTTCAGAATGTCTCTCACATTTTAACATATTTAAAACCAAACGAAACTTTGAAAAAAAAACAAGGTATAATACTGATGAAATACGCCTCAAACAGTCTAATAATTTTACATATGGAAAGTACTCGGCATATGCTGTGGTTTCATCAATATTCGTTGAGCACCAATTTTCGAAGATTTCGATGTTCAGCAGATCCACCAAATTTTAATATTCATTGAATTAAGATATATGTTATTCTTTAGTCTAGGCAATGCTTTTGCCCATGAACTTACATATCCTTGAAAACGTCTGTTTTACAAAATCTACGAAAATTGATGCCAACGAAAACTAATGAAACCACAGTATCTATTACATACATGGTAATGTCCCACCTGTACATTTACGCGCTACGAAATTCTCCTCCTCAACATACATTTTAAAGGCAAGCTTACATATCTGAAATTTATATACATACGAAACATCTAGATCTGATTTAAGTTCATGCAATATACAGGTGTATAAATTTGTTATGAGGCAATTGCAAATAAAATGAGAAATATTTGATGGAAATCTGTTAAAAAAAAATCAGAACATAACAAAGGTTTAGAGCTCTAAATCTGTCTTGTATCTCTAATTTTTGATGATCATTAGAATATATATATTTGTAAAAATGGGGAGAGAATGTAAATGTTTTGTTGCAACTGTCCATGTGCCTTGAACATACCCATGATATGAAGACGTGATTTTTATGCCTCCGTAAACAAAGTTTCATGGGTATATAGTTTTTTGTCGTTTCCGTCCGACTTTTGATTCAGTAGAACTATGCCTTACATATTTCACATCTGATTTTCTTGTGACAAGACCTTTCTTTGGGTAACACCAAATCTCATCTTTTGCCCTTGATATTGGAGTTTTGACTCAATTTTACAAAAAATATCCCAACTTTTTACTTCGGTCATATCTTTTGAACAGTTGATACCAGGACTTTTATTTTCCATAATGTATTTGTTGTGGCAAGACCTTTTATAGAGTACCAACAACTTTGATCTTTTGACCATGACCTTAAAGATTTCCATACTTATGAAAAAAAACTTTAACCTAAACCTTGGCCATAACTTTTGATTGTTAAGGGCAAGAGATTTCATACTTCAGATATATAAGTTTTGTGAACAGACCTTTTATTGGATACCAAGAATTTTAATACTACGTACATAATATACAAATTATGGAGCATCAATAAACATACATGTATATTATGTTCTTCATTTCTACATAAACAACTCCAGAAATAGGAGCATAAAAACCACTGTGGCTAAACAAGAGATTTATTGGATAAGAGTTCAATTAAATTGTGCGATGTTTCATCACTTTACAAGTTAATATCTGGAAATATCCAATTACATTATTTCCAAATTTCGAAAATAGCTTTAGAACAATGATTATCTCTGTACAGTTCTATAGTCCCTAAAACGTTCTACTTTCCAACCTGAAGGGTGAAAGAACGGTGAACGAATGCAGAGGGAACGGTTAATGAACGATGTGCGAACGCTGAACGCAACTTGGTGAACGATGTGTGAACGGTGAGTGAACGCAGAACACGAACGGAGCGCAAACTGAACGGTGAACGCAAGATTAACAATTTCTTAGGAATGCCTCCGATCTTTTCCTTGCGTTGAAATTATTCTATGATTCAACAATTCTAATTTCAGGTGCTAAGATATTTTTAAACAATAGATAAATAAATAATAAAAACATTTTTTTCTGCACATACATATGTTTTAAGTCGATATTTTAATAACATGTTTTTAATTGCCGTAAAACATGAGTATTTGTTACCGAACGCTTGTAGTATAAATATAAAATAAAACTACACGTACATATATAGTAAATATGCTTATTCTTTTAACTAATAAAATAATGTGGACTGTAGCAGATAAAACTACTACTTATAGAATGAATTAATTACATCTACCCGGTTGGAACAACCATACATGTACTTCCGTGCCAAGGCGATTCTGAGTAAAATAACGGATTTATTTTTATTTACAAATGTCTGTTGACGTATTGCATAAATTCGCTCGTATTTTAAAATTCTAATGCAAAATATTAAAACTTTATGTGTCATTTTATTTTTTATGATGATTATTTTAGCTAACTTCTAGGTGGCTAAAAATTCGCTCTTGTGTACAACTTGACCTATGACTTTTACAAGAGAAATATTTCATAAATTATTGAAAAAAACTGAAATAAAAAATATTTTATATTGAAAACTATATTGCAAATATATAGAAAAGATAATATGAGTAGATTTTTTCATCAACGTACTTATTTTTCTTGAAATGAATTTGATAATTCCACTAGAATCACGCATGTGTAGGAGGACATTTTCAACCATGTCAAAATAAAAGACTAATATACGGCGATGATACCTTATATACAGAATATTTTTATTTACTACTGTTTAGGAAGGTTAGAATTTACATACAAAAGTATTTAAATGCACATTATGTCTCAAATAAAAGAAAAAAATGAATTTTATTTCTCCTCATATTTTGAACATAACGTCTGTCAGTCTCAATACTACGATGGCCGATATGAGCCGTCAAAATACAAGTAAGAGTAGCTCTATTATGTACACATAATCGATGGCAAAACGCATGAAGTAGTAGTAAAAATTTGTACATGTACAAATCTTGAGACAAAATACACTCGAGACTACTTAACATTCCTTAGATTTACTGGGAAGATTAACTGTAAACTTAGAAGGAACAAAATCAAAAACATGTGTATCTGATTTTTCTTCTATTTTGTTAAATAAATGTTGTGTACCTTACTTCAATTGATCACAAAATGCAGCGAGTTTTTTTTTTTTTTTATTTTCGTCTTTGATCTAATCAAATATTTTGCAAGTTTCTCTAATAAAATTATCTGGGTGTTTTTGATTTTAAATTTCACGACAACAAAATCTTAACCTTCATTCATAAGCCCCAGGACGCTGGTTAAAAATTCCAGAAACAAGGGATCTGTATCTTAATTATCTCTTTTGCCACTAGATGAGAATCTGCTTCTTGATGATTTAATTTGATATTAAATTTCCACAATTTTTGGCTGTGTTGGCTATGCACATGTATGTACCGTGTTTTGATTATATTTTTTGAAGAAACTAACATGTAACTCTTTATTTTAAACCCCACCCTAAAAACAAATCCTTTGTACTCTTCGGAAATCCTGCAAATCTATTTAATTTTATGGCTTCAGTAGTTTTGAAATGTGTTTATTTTTTTATTTGAACTGGGGGTACATTTTCAAAGAAAAAAGGAAGTAAAACAA